ACATGCGAAGTCCATAGCGCAACAGAACTTAAACGCGCGGTGACACGGGCCAGCTCGAGTTGCTCAGAAGGGGTAAAGCCTGTTGAAGTTGAAGTTGCAAAATGGTAAGTGTCGAAGTTGAAAAATCCGGACAAGTTGCTCAGAAGTGGAACCATCACCTGTGGAATTCTCAGAGGGGCAGGGGATCCCCTCTCGCCTGCTCCGAATTGACGCCAATCCATGCCATGCTGGGGCTCGACTCTGGGTAGTACTTCTCGTGGGTGCTCGTGATGACCTCCCAGGTTGACAGCTCAGCTGGCCACGACGCGCAGTCCTGCAGCTCGGCGGTGCGAGACGAGAAGCCGTCCTGCTCGGCCCTCTCCTGCCCGAGGACGAGGCAAAGGCTGGTGTTCACCACGGCGAACTGCCTGCTCGGGGTGTACCTGAACTTCTGCAGAGAGTCGGGCGCCCGGCACTCCACCATGACAAGCTGAGTCCCAGCCTCGAGGGACCCAGCGACCCGGAGGCAACCGCCGCGGGTGTTGTTCAGGTCTGCCTGCCATATCCTTCCGTCCTGCTCCCCGTCATACATCGGGTTGCATATACCGTTGAAATTCTGCGACACGATCGACCCCGTGTCGGGGTCGTACCGGAACTGGGTGTCCGCACCGTCCGACTTGCAGGTGTGCCCCTGGATGCTGTCGCACTGCGGGTGGGGCGGGGACCCAGCGATGTCCAGGCAGTAGCCCCAGTAGTTGTCGAGGTCCACGAGGTCTGCGAGATAGATGTTGGGCCCCGGGACGTACGGGTTGCCCTCAACGCCGCTCAGCTGGCTGCGCTCTGTCCCTCCCGCGTCCCGCTTGAGCATGTGGCGGGGTTTTGACAGCGCAGAGGCCGTCTGCAGAGCCTCGAAGCCGATGGACGCGTGCTCGCATTCCTGCTCGCGGCCCACGTCCGCCTCCGAGCGAGCGGCCCCGCCGAAGGGGCCGCGGCCCGCGGAGGCAGTGGCCTCCGCGAGCGGCACGGCCCACCTGGAGAGGAGGATGAGGAGCCAGGGGCGCACCATGCGCACCATGCCCCAGGAGCCGAGGCGCTGTCGGGGCACCCGACTGCGGAGGGTTTGAGCTTGAGCCAAAATGGCTACGGAAGGAACCTCGTCGGCCCTCTTGGGAGCTTCTTGGGGGCCTCTTGGATCCGATTGGGGGCCTCTCGGGACTTCCCGAAAACCTCTCGGGGTAGAAAGCTCGGATTCTCGGTTCGTGTTTCCCTTCTTGGGCCTCTCTTGGGGCCGTCTTGGGGCCCTCTCGGGCCGTCTTGGGCGCCTAAGGCACCGCCTTGGGGCCCTCGTGGGCCGATCCCTATGATCGACACCCTATGGTCAGGGCAGTGTGCCCTTGGGAAGGTGACCGATCGTGATTCTGCAGCCCAGGGCCTTCCCCTGGGGGCCAGCTGTTCCTCCTGTTCGGGGGCGGCAAAGAGGGGGGCGCCCAAGAGTGGGGGGCAGAACTACCCGGGGCGCATTGAAACAAGAAGAGGCGCCATGAAATCTGGGGAGATACAGTGGCCCCCGCCATGAGATCCCTCCCCCATCATCACCCCCCTCTTTGCCGCCCTCGACTGAGCCGCCCTTCGATGGGATCCCGGGACGACGCGGGCCCCTTCCCCTCGGGACCCCTCGTCCCTCCTGGGCCCCGTTTATCCGACCCCCTATCCCCAACGGCATGGCCTGGGCCCCACTGGCTGATGTACCCCGCCAGATGGGGATATGGGCCGTTTCCTTCGGGTTTCCCTTCGGATTTCGGGGGGGATATTCCCAACTATAGGGCGGTGGGGTGGTGGGGTCTGGATCGGGATACGGATGGGGATATAGGGATATGCGTCTGTCAAACGATGCTGAGCTCACGAACTTTCATCAGGACAAGCTTCTCATCCACAGTCCCCTTTCAAAACGGAGCCCCAGGACCGCAGAACCTGGGGCCCCCGTTCCCTCGGCGGTTCAGAGATGGGCCCCGAGAGATGGTGCCCTAAGGATCAACAACGGATGGCCTCAAACGGTAAACGTTCAGCTTGAATATTGTTCCTATCCCCATCCCAGGTCGGACGAAATAGAAGGCTACGCAAAGGGGGGGGTAGCGAATCGAGACGGTCCAAAAGGGCCCCGAATCGCCGAACAATCAGTCCAAGACGCCAAAGATGGCCTCCTGACAGCCCAAGCGGCTTCCAAGACGCTCGAAGGGGCCTCCAAGAGCACACCAAGAGAGCCCCAACCGGCAACATTCAATTATTTTCTTTGGGATTGTGAAAGGAGTCTGGCGTTCTCGCCTTTTCGGCTTCCTGCGGCCTCAAGACGGCCCAAGATGCCACCAAGATCGGCACAAAAGGCCCCAACGAGGTCTCCAAGACGACCCCAAAACGACCCAAGAGGGCCCCAAGACAGCCCGAGAGGCCTCCCAGACGGCCTTAGAAGCCACCAAAACGGCTCCAAGAGGGTGCCCAGACAGGAGCCCGAACGAACAGTTCAAGCCCTCGGCCCCGAGAAGCTCCCAGGAGGCCCCAAGTGCCCCCCCCCGCCAGGGAGGGGCCTTAACACCTCCAAAATCGATTTTGGAAGAGTTGAGCCCCCTCGTTTCGCCTTTTAAGCCTCCCCTGGGCCCAGGGGGGGGGGCTTAACAGGCGAACAGAGGGGGCTTAACACCTCCAACATCGATTTTGGAAGTGTTAAGGCCCCTCCCTGGCGGGGGGGGGCTCAACAGGAAAAAGTTGAGTTTGGAGGTGTTCAGGTGTCCCCTTTTACCTCCCTGTGGGGCCACGAAGCGCTGTACTGGGTGTGCGGGAAGCATGCGGACGGTAGCATTGGGACCTTTGGTGGGGCTCCCTATGGGGCCACGAAGCGCTGTACTGGGTGGGCGAAGCGCAGGGAGGAGGGGGAGGAGGGCCACGAAACACTAACGGGGTGCGCGGGACGATTGCGGACGGTAGAACTGGGACCTTCAGTGGAGCTTCCCATGGGGCCACGAAACGCTGTACTGGGTGTGCGGGACGCATGCGGGCGGTAGCACTGGGACCTTCAGTGGGGCCCTCTATAGGGCCACGAAGCGCTGTACTGGGTTGGTGAAACGCAGGGAGGAGGGGGAGGAGGGCCACGAAACGCTGTACTGGGCGTGCGGGACGCATGCGGACGGTAGCGAGGAGGAGGGGGAAGAGGAGGAGAGGAGAACGCGGGGCGACGTCTCGTCAAAACGTAGACCCAACACCACAGGGTGGTTGGGAAAAACTGCTTGGCCAGGTCTACATCAAAAGAGATACCGACCTTTCAGGATGTTTCCCTTGCCAGATCTTGTTCCTATTGAGGTTGCCCGACGTCGTCGTTGGAAGGCGTTTCTTCCCCAGCTTGCAGACTTGGTACCCCGACGAATAGGCACGGCAGCTGAGGCAGAAAAACGCATGCGAGTCATCGCTAGCCTCCAAGGCGACGGCGCGGTGCTGGAGCCGATCCAAAACGACCCACTCGAGGCGACTGCGGCCCCGTGCAGGAGCCCCCGGCCCTGCAGCCGCCCCCGAGGCGGGGAGCCCCCCCCCCCCCGGCACGTCGTGCACGTCTCTCGGGAGTTCCCGCCGAGGTGCTCCGCCGCCTGCAGAGTTATGCTGCTCCCGTCGCACTGAAAGACCACATCCCAGAAATTATTCCGAGCGCCCAGACACGTATCGCAACCGTGTCGAACGAGTATCGCCTCCCCAGGCCCGACACGTGAAAACCCGCCGGTGCCGGTACTGCCTTGGTGCTCGGCATTCTTTCTGGTGGCCAAGGCTAAAACAGGTTGGAACATCGTAACTGCACATGTTTGCGCAGTCCATCTCTGAAGGCCCTCGGGCGTCCCAGAACGCCTGCAGGCCCCCCAGGGCCCCCCAGGGGCGAAACAGCGTCCGCAGGGCTCCCGCTGGGCGGGCCGGATTCTTGCAACGCGCCCGATGACTCGCCGCCCCCGACCGAGACGCGGGGACACCACGGCACGCTGTGCAAAATCCTGCGATGGCCCCAGTGATAGGGAGCCCACGAAGGACGTACGCGCCCAGCTATGTACATGAACACGGCCCCTCGATCCGCGAGACCGGCCGCGTTGTCCGAACATCTGCGCAGTGTGTACTCTCGAAACCAGCGTGGATTCATGTACATGTGCGTCCTTCCCTCGCTCCCGGGATGAGGCGGCTCCGCAGGAGAGGGAGGAGGGACGAGGGAGGAGGAGGAGGAGGAGGAGGAGGAGGAGGAGGAGGAGGAGGAGGAGGAGGAGGGCGGACCGGTGCGCCGCAGCTGCTCCTGGCCACCCTGCCGCAGGGCACCTGTCCAGACTGGGCCCAATGGGAGGAGGAGAGGCGCCTGCACCGAGGAGTCGACCTCGAGAGCTCGGCGTGCGGCTCGGGCGACGGGAGGGTGCGGATACCGCTCCTCCCTGGACCTCTCCCCTCCTCCTCCCCCTCCTCCTCCCCCTCCCCCTCCTCCTCCTCCTCCTCCCCCTCCCCCTCCTCCTCCTCCTCCTCTCCTCCTCCTCCTCCTCCCCCTCCTCCTCCTCCTCCTCCTCCTCCTCCTCCTCCGCCTCCCTCCTCCTCCTCCTCCTCCTCCTCCTCCTCCTCCTCCTCCTCCTCCTCCTCCTCCTCCTCCTCCTCCCCTGGACCTCCAAGGATGCTCTCTGGCCAGGGGCTCGAGGCGAAGCCAGCCGTGGCGGCGAGGGGAGGGCAGCAGGATCGGCACATGGCACATGCTCCTTCTCTTCTTCCCCTTTCCTGGCAGACCCTGGGCCGAAACAAGTGTCGGTGGGGGGAACCAAGAGGATACCGATGCCGATGCTCCCTGGACCTCTCCCCGGGCGTGTCTGACCAGATTTTCGAGGCGGATCCAGCCGTGATGACGAGGGCTTCCCAGGACACCCAAAATGGCAAAAGGCAGGCCACCTCCAGAAATTTGCGCGGAAAGCGGCACCCGGTGCGACAGTGGCGGCAATACGGCCGTGGCCCGAGGGCGCCGCCTTGCTCGCTTGGCCGTCACACGGGACGTTCATGGCGGCGGCCAGGCAGCCTTTGCTGCACCTCGCGCGGGCCACGCTGAAGCGTGTGCAAGAGGCACCAAAGGACTACCTACCAGACCACCCCAACCCAACCCGAAGACCCGAATGTCGGATTGTGGGGGTGCGGGTTCCATATGTGGTCTTCCCATGTTCCCCGACGCCCCCCCCCACTGCCACTGGAAAACAAGGCCAAATTGGGGCCTTCGGGTTGGGTTGGGGCGGTTTGGTGGGAGGCAACAGAAAATGGCGGAAGGGAAGCATGGCCCGGAAAAACGTGCCGACGGCGAAGCACGGCCGACCAGGAGTGGGGGGGGGTCGGAGAACAAGTGCACACACACAGACAGACAGACAGACAGACAGACAGACAGACAGACAGACAGACAGACAGACAGACAGACAGACAGACAGACAGACAGACGGACAGACAGACACACAGACAGACAGACAGACAGACAGACAGACAGACAGACAGACAGACAGACAGACAGACAGACAGACAGACAGACAGACAGACAGACAGACAGACAGACAGACAGACACACACACACACAGGCACACTAGGAGGCCACATGCGAACCCTACGCCAACACCACACGATGTCTAAGGGGGGAGGAGGGAGTTGGTAACCGGCACAAGCACACACTTTTGAAACGAAGAGGCAGGAGATCCCGAGTCGCCATGGCGTCAGGGGGACGAGGCGAGCCAGAGTGGTGCCCCGCCCGACAGGCTGGGGCTGCTAGGTTCAAATTACCAAATGCACCTGAGAGTACAGTCGTTACGGGGCCGCGAAGCACGTGAAGGGTGTCCCGAAATGGGGCGGGGCCACCAGACGGGCGATGCCAGCGGGGCCGTAATCCCCATGGGGCCATGAAAAGCGTGATACGTGTTTGCGTGTGTGTGCCGAAATAAGTGTCTGCGACGACTGCGGGCTGCGCCACTGGGACCTTCGGTGGAGCTCCCTGCGGGGCCACGAAGCGTGCAAGGGGTGAGCCGAACTGGGTGAATGGGACGCATGCGGGCTGCGCCACTGGGGCCCTTCGGTGAAGCTTCCTATGGGGCCACGTGGCGTGTCACGGGTGTGCCGAAATGGGTGGCGGGGACCCACGCGGGCTGCGCCACTGGGGCCTGCGGTGGAGCTCCGTATGGGGCCACGATACGTGTGGGGGGTCTGCCGACATGGATGGCGGGGACCCACGCGGGCTGCGCCACTGGGGTTTTCGGTGGAGTTCCCTATGGGGCCACGACGCGTGTGAAGGGTGTACCCGATAGTTGGATGGGAGGCATGCGGGCTGCGCCACTGGGACCTTCGGCGGAGCTCCCTAGGGGGCATGCGTGCGATGGACGCATGCGGGCTGCGCCACTGGGACCTTCGGTGGAGCTCCCTATGGGGCCACGAAGCGTGCAAGGGGTGAGCCGAACTGGGTGAATGGGACGCATGCGGGCTGCGCCACTGGGGCCCTTCGGTGGAGCTTCCTATGGGGCCACGTGGCGTGTCACGGGTGTGCCGAAATGGGCGGCGGGGACCCACGCGGGCTGCGCCACTGGGGCCTGCGGTGGAGCTCCGTATGGGGCCACGATACGTGTGGGGGGTCTGCCGACATGGATGGCGGGGACCCACGCGGGCTGCGCCACTGGGGTTTTCGGCGGAGTTCCCTATGGGGCCACGACGCGTGTGAAGGGTGTACCCGATAGTTGGATGGGAGGCATGCGGGCTGCGCCACTGGGACCTTCGGCGGAGCTCCCTAGGGGGCATGCGTGCGATGGACGCATGCGGGTTGCGCCACTGGGGCCGTCGGTGGAGGGCCACGAAGCGTGTGAGGGGTGTGCCGACATAGGTGGCTGGGACGCATGCGGGCGGCGCCACTGGGGCCTTCGGTGGAGCTCCCTATGGGGCCACGAAGCGTGTGAGAGGCGTGACGGCGGCCATGATGATGCTGCTGATGATGATGAGGACGACGACGACGAGGAGGAACAAAAATGATCGGAGGTTGGGGGGTGAAATCGCAGTGGAACGGAGACCCCCAACCAGAAAATCGTGTCGTTTCGTTCATGTCGCGCGTGCGGGCGAGGCGAATCTGCGTGGGCGCGCGAGAGGAATGAACCCGCCGCTGTTAGGGAGAAGTCAAGACAATTGATTATCCTCCGTCCGACCGGCGGTGGCCCTAGCGGTGTCCCGCGGTGTCCCGTGGTGTCCGCCGTTGTTAAGGCGAAGCCAAAACAAATGATTATCCTCCGTCCGGCGGTAACCCCAGCGGTTGCCCTAGCGGTGTACCGTGAGGTCCCGTGATGTCCGCCGCTGATAGAGCGAAGCCAAAACAAATGGTTATCCTCCGCCCGGCGGTGGCACTCGTGGTGTCCCGTGGTTTCCCGTGGTTGCCCGTGGTGTCCCGCGCTGTCCCGTTGACTGAGTTCGATAATGGGATCGATACTGAGATCGACAAATGTCCCGTGGTGTCCCGCTGAGTGAGATCGATAGTGGTATCGATAGTGTGATCGATACTGAAATCGATGTAATGCCCCGAGGGGTCCCGCTGTGTCCCACAAACTGACATCGATACTGAGATCGATCGTGAAATCGACGGGTGTCCCGTGGTGCCCCAAAACTGCGATCGATTGAGTTGTAAATAAATGGTATCGCTGGTGGGATCGATAATGATACCGATAGTGTGATCGATCGCAAGATCGACACTGAGATCAATGCGGCACTCAGACGTGCCCCGTGGTGTCAGATCGATAGTGAGACCGATGCTGAGATCGACGTGGTGCCCCGAGGTGTCCCAATGAGTGAATTCGATAGTGAAATCGCTAGTGAGATCCACAGGTGTCCCGTATTGTCCCTCGGTGTACCGTTGAGTGGGATCGATGACCGACTCTGGGCGATAATAACCCCCGTGGGATAATAAAATTTAGGGGCATGGCGGGGATAATCAGCTATTTTCTCGGGGCAGGTGATATATTAGCTATGGCGATGGTGATGATGGCGATGATGGCGGCGATGATCCCGGGCGCTCGATAAGACTGACCATGTAGATTTCGGAAAAAGACTGACTCGAGAGATCTCCAGGCACACGGCTACAACTGGCCTGCGCAAGAGAGGTCCTTGGCGCTTCTGGCCGAGAAACCTCTCTTGCGCACGGCCTCAAACAAGTCGCCCACGCAGGATCGGCATGCTCTGGAGCCGCCCTTGCACGGGAGGCACTTGGTGCAGGCCTGGGCGACAACGCCTGCCTCCTCGAAGGTAGCGTGCGTCGGCTCGACCGCTGCGGGGCCCTTGGGGGGCTCGGACTTGGCCTTGTTCTTGGCCTTGGCCTTGGCCAAGTCGTTGTCGCTGGCCTCCTTGAGCTCGTTGAACCACTCGTTGCCTCGCGCGCACATCGCGCCGATGCTCGCGGGCGCTTGGCGGCCCTCACCTCGGATCTCGCGCCGGGCGCGGTCGGTCCCGCGACTCGTCCACAGGCCGCAGGGCTGGGCGTCGGCCTGGAACATCTCGCTGCCCCTCGCAGGGCAGGTCTCGCCAGGGCCGACGGCGCCGAGCTTGCGGGGGATCCTCGCGGTGGCCCTGGGGGGCCCACATGCGAACCCTGCCCGAGATCCCTGAGGCGGAGGGCGGGGTTCACCTTGTTTGGCAGCACCCGAGCAAAGAGAACCCCAGTTACCTCCCCCATCAGAAATCGCGGGGTGTAGTTGTGAGTCCGCACATGGCCCTGTAGGCCTGCGTGGCGTTCTCGGGCGGCCACTTGAAGGTTTCGCGGCACTCCGCCGCGGCGCGCCCGCAGATCCTCGAGACCTTGGCGGGCGCTGCCACTAGTGGCCCCTGCCCGGGGTGCCTCCAGGATCCGCTCCAAAACGGAAGGAATAACTGGAGGCACCTTGGGGCAAGGGGCAACTGTAGCAAGCGCCGCCCTCGAGGTGGGCGTGGCGCGCGGGCGCGTCGGAGTGCGCGCAGATCAGGACGTGCTGGGCCTCGGCGAGTCTCCCGGCCCAGCGCGCGTGCCCCTCGGGCTGCCAGGCGGCGGTTTCGCCCTCGCCCTGGCCCTCTCGAGCCCGGGCGGCGGCCGCGGCGGGCTCGACCGTCAGAGCGGTCTCGGGGGCGCCCGCGCGCACCTCGATCTCGCCCGGCAGCGCGCGCGCTGTGCCCAGCTCGAGGGCGCCGCCCTTGACAATCTGCTCGCAGTTCATGATCGCGCACTCCTTGGCAAGCTCGGCGCGGCGAGCCAATCTGGTCTGGCGCCGGTCGAGCTTGTGCGGCTTGGTGAATTTGCAATCCTGCTCGATCGTGGCCTGCAGCGCTCGGAATTCACACGCGCTCGTTAGCTTGCGCCTGCTTCCGCTTCGCGTCGCTTCCGCCTGCCCCCGCCAACTCGCTGCCATCTTCCGACGCTTCCGCCGTCGCCCCCGCCGTTCCCGCTCGCCCCCGCTGGCTTCCACCGCCTCAGTCGGAAGCGGGCGGGAGCTAACGAGCGCCCGTGACCCCCCCAGCCTCGCTGCTCTCGGTCTGGAAGATCTCCGCGGCCTCCACCTCGAGGGCGCGCAGGCGGCGCGCGTCCTCGGTGCCCTGGACTCGCCGGGCGTCCTGCGCTCTGCCGCGTCTGCCCTCGCGGACCCCCTCCTCGGCGGCGCGCGCCGCCTTGCCGTGCCAGGGGGGCTCCTCGCAAGCATCGAGGCCGGCGTTATTCTTGGCCTTCGCTTTCTTCATGACATTCTGCCCCGCTTGCTTCTTCAGCTTGAACTTCTGGGGCGCGCTCGCCCTCGCCTTCGGCGGCCTGCCTGCGAGCGTCGCCATGGCTGCGCCGCGGCCCAGGTGCTCGAGCGAGGCCTCGCCGCCAGTCTGGGCCTTCTCGCGCCGCCACTTGCGCGCGCTCGCCCGTGAACTGGCCCGAGAAGTTGGGCGCCCACCTGCTCTCGCGCCCGCGCCCACTTGTTCGCGCCACCTTGGTCGGGTTCTCGAGGGCGCGCGGGAACTGGGTCTCCTTGATCCGCTCTTCTGGCGTCCTAAGCATGTCCTTCTGTTCGTCGGCGAGC